GGCTAGAGACGGGCCAGGTGGGAACCAGCTCTGCTTTACAGATGCCCAGAGACGGGCCCGGTGGAAACCAGATCTGCTTTACAGATGGCCAGAGACGGGCCAGGTGGGAACCAGCTCTGCTTTACAGATGCCCAGTCTGAGATGCCTGTAAGACAGTCCAGCGGACACAAACATACAGCTGGATGAAAATCTGGAGCTCATTCAGTCTAGGAGTTACTAGATGTAGGAGGTATTTACCGTTTGGTTATCAGACCCAGGGAGGCTGAAGCCCGCAATGGCTATTGTGCAGGGCTGGTGCACTATCCTCTGGCCTAAGGCGATGAGCTTATAGGAGGGATTTATAGTCACGATCCTGAATGAGTTTACAGAAAGGCTATGTAATGTTCTACTTCTTAAACTGGATGGTATGTACATTGGTAATTATTGTCATTATTATTTAAACTGTGCACAGACACGATACACATTTTTTTACAGGTATATGTTATTTCACACTTAGCAAAGTTCATGACAGGCGCCTACCACAACACCCAGCTATTTTTTGGTTGGAGCCGTCACTGTTGTTTGGCAGGCCCCGGCTGGATTCAAACCTTCCAGCTGAGGCATATGTGGCTGGCGCCCTAGCCGCTTGAGCCACAGGTGCCAAGCCTCGCAACCCCTTTTTAACAATGAAATACATTGTGGCATTAGGAAAAATACATTGCTCTAGTAAAATTTCCACAGCACACTTAAATTATGTTGTTCTGAGAAAAAAAAAGAGTGAAAAAAAAAAAGAATATGCTTACTATGCTTTGAACTTCCTTAGGAAACAATTTAATTTAACAATGAAAATACATTGTGGCATTAGGAAAAATACATTGCTCTAGTAAAATTTCCACAGCACACTTAAATTATGTTGTTCTGAGAAAAAAAAAGAGTGAAAAAAAAAGAATATGCTTACTATGCTTTGAACTTCCTTAGGAAACAATTTAATTTAACAATGAAAATACATTGTGGCATTAGGAAAAATACATTGCTCTAGTAAAATTTCCACAGCACACTTAAATTATGTTGTTCTGAGAAAAAAAAAGAGTGAAAAAAAAAAAGAATATGCTTACTATGCTTTGAACTTCCTTAGGAAACAATTTAATTAATGATCTTTTTTTTTTTGCAGTTTTTTTGGCTGGGGCCGGATTTGAACCCACCACCTCCGGTATTTGGGGCCAGCGCCCTACTCCTTGAGCCACAGGTGCCACCCATTAATTAATGATCTTTAAAAATATTCCTGGCCCAGCAGTGAAAATCACTGAACTAGAGTAACATTATTACTGTCACAAGTTACACTCTCTTACACACAAAGGCTTCTGGTAGATGATAAGTGTAACTGTTTTCCTGTTCTCCAAGAAATTAGCCATAGCTGTCAAGAAGTTTAAATAAAATGAGGATGGAAAACAGACACAGACATTTTGTAACACGGAGTGAAAGCTTGAGAATAGACCAATGACTGTTGGGTTGATGTGATTCCAGGCTTCAAATTCCTGGTTCCAGGTGGCACCATCTACAAACGATAGACAAAATTCTGAAGGAAGGAGATTTTAAAAACCTTAAGATTGCAAAGTCTATGCCCCACCCCTCCTTTTCTCCAATTTTACAGGAATCTAAATGAACGAGGGCTGTAGATTCAAGTCACATGTACGAAGCTCGGGCTTTGCTGTCAATGCTGCCTGGGTAGGAGAAGGCACTGGAGTTCAGAAACGTCTGGAAAGACTTAGAGAAAGAAAACAGGTACCAGGAAGACATAACTGTGAAAAAAAAATAAAGAAGTGCTGGATTTCGACTTTAGTAAGGATGATTTGATATTGTTTTTATCCATGGAACAGGCTTGAAATAAACAACTACTGAAGAGAAGGTACTGGTGATAAAGGTGAAGCTGCCTCTGCAAATCGAACAATGCGTGAACAGAACCACGCTCTGATCACAGAGTAAAGAACACGTCTACTGAATGCGGCGTCCATACCTGGCTTAGCCAGAGGACGTTTCACCAGAAAAGATATAGTTAGTCACTTCCTAGGCAGTACTTCCTTTTTCCTATTTTACCTCAACTCTTAATTTAAAATGATGCATATAATTTGCATCTGTCACTGAAAGTCAAACACTTTCTTCTCACAGAAAAACAGGTGTTCCAAGGAATTCATGAGTACAAAAACAGTCATTAGTCAGATTGATAGGAAAGACACAAAAATGACAGCTCCATTTGCTACGTCCGGAAGCCCCAAACGTGCA